AAAAAGTCTAGTTGCAACCAAGTTAGAAGACATGCAATTGCATAACTACATTTGGGTATGCAACTGGCCCCTTCTCTCCCTGCCGCCCTCTCCGACAAAACTAAGATACTTGTAGTTGCAACCAAGTTAGAAGACATGCAATTGCCACTAGCGCCCTCTCTCTTCCCGCCGCCCCCTCCGAGAAAACAAAGGCCCCAGTTACAACCAAGATAGAAGACATGCAGTTGAATGACTACCGTGGGGACATGCAATTGTAACCCCCTCTTCCTGTCGCCCTCTCCAACAAAACAGAGGCCTAGTTGCAACCCATGTTGGAAGACATGTAGTTGCATGACTACAGTTGGACATGCAACTAACCCCATCTACATGTCGCTAGCCCCCCAAAAAACAAAACCCCACTTGCAACCATTTCGGAAAGACATGCAATTGCGTGACTATGATTAAACATGCAACTGGCCCCTCTCCTCGTCGGACCCTCTGACAAAACAAAAAGCCCAGTTGCAAGCATGTTAGAAGACATGCAGTTGCGACCATGTTGGAAGGCATGTAGTTGCATGATTACAGTTGAGCATGCAACTGGCCCCTCTCTCTTGACGCCGCCCTCCTCCAACAAAACAAAGGCCCCAGTTGCAACCAAGTTAGAAGAGGTGAAGTTGCGTGGCTAGTGTGGGACATGCAACTGGTCCTCTCCTCGTCCGACAAAACAAAAGCCAAGTTGAAACCAAGTTAGAAGACATGCGGTTGCGACCATGTTGGAAGACATGTTGTTGCATGATTATAGTTGAGCATGCAACTGGCCCTCTCTCTCTTGCCGCCGCCCCTCCAACAAAACAAAGGCCCTAGTTGCAACCAAGTTAGAAGACATGCAGTTGCATGCCTAGTGTGGGACATGCAATTGGCCCCTCCGATAAAAATAAAAGCCGAGTTGCAACCATGTTAGAATACATGCAGTTGCGACCATGTTGGAAGACACGCGGTTGCATGACTATAGTTGAGCATGCAATTGGCCCCCTCTCTCTTGCCGCTGCCCCCTTTGACAAAAAAATCCGCAGTTGCAACCCAGTTAGAAGACATGCAGTTGCGTGCCTAATTTGGGACATGCAACTGGCCCCTCTCCTTGTCCGACAAAACGAATGCCCAATTGCTACCAAGTTAGAAGACATGCAGTTGCACCATGTTTGGGAGACATGCAGTTGCATGACTATAGTTGAGCATGCAACTGGCACCATATTTGGAAGACATGCAGTTGCACCATGTTTCAATGATTCAATGTAAACAACTAGTTAACTAGGGGTCCCTTCAGAAACCAGGGAGAAAAAAAGAAAAAAGATCAACCTTCAACAAATATATTCTGTGATGGTGAGTATAAACTAAAAAAAATAAGGATCAGAAAAAAAACAGAGGCTGCGGAGTTAACGCTGTGATTTTGAACTCCTTCCAGACATACATGCTGATGCCACTTGCCCTGCTCTCGTAGTTGCAAGTGTTCAGACAAACTCTGCAAACCATCTCCTATGCACATAAAAGGGCGCCCAACATAAATGTGTGCTAGTGAGACGCATACATATTCAACTAATGATTTTAGTGCAATACTTATATGCTTCCGAACGAAAAGGATTTCGAGATAATGATGATTTACCATTGGCATCGCCGCTGATGACAAAAAGATGTATTTACAATGCGATCTGGAGATAAAAAAAGATGGATCTGTCAAAAGACCATATTATCTTGATTCATATACAAAAAAATGAACATCGTACTGATTCATATGGTCTCAGCAAAAAAGAAGAAAATTGAAAAAACATGATGTTGCTAGAAACTTAGTTTCATTAATCATTCTCTTTTGATTTCACAAAAAGAGAGATTTGAACATGGTACTGATTACATAGAGTCTCAGCAAAAAAAACTGACAAAACAAATAAATATGCCCACTCCTAGTGATAGATTTAAGTAGTAATTTCTCCTGTTTACAAGGAAAGATTTCAAAAAACATGCTACTGATTAGATAGGGGTTCTGCAAAACAAATAAACATACCCACTCCCACTGATACATTCAGTGATACTCTCTCTTGTTTCAAGAGAAAGATTTCAAAAACATGCTACTGATTAAATAGAGTTTCAGCAAAAATCTAAATAAACAAACAAGGGACTGAACCACTCCTAGTGATGGCTCAGTAATACATAGGAGGGGATTTGAGTTCAGTAATAATCCTCAAAACATGTAACTGATTCCGCAAAAAAATGTTTTGGCAAAATCATATTCTTCAAGCTACTATAATCTGGACTAAATAAACAAACAACGGACTGAACCACTCCTAGTGATGGCTCAGTAATAGATATGAGGGGATATGAGGGAACCACTTCTAGAGACACCAAATATCCCAGAAGAACCGTGTCGGTGTTAGCACTCACCAGATCGAAAAAGCTGCCCAAAAAAAGAATGACTAGCAAAGATTTTATCCTAACAAAAAAATGCCAACTTAGCAGGCCTAAAACACATCTCTCTTGTCACCTACTGATGTACAGAGGGTGTAAAAATGCACTCTACTCTCTCTCTTTACCCCTGGATCAATTACTATAGCAGATTCTTCACGCTAAGAACCCTAAGAAAAACTTCTCTATAGTACCTACAAGCATAAAAAGAATGGTGTTGATACTACTACTTTCAGTACAATCCAAAGGAGAAAACACTTCATCTCAGTCTCTTAGGGATACTAAAATTTTAGTACTACTAGTTGTAAAAAATCTTTACTGGATAAAGCCTCAGAAACAGAGCAAAAAGAAAAATCAAAATGACAAAACAGGTGCCACATAAAAACAGAGCTTTATTTATCGAGGTAAGTGAATCTAGCTACAAGCAAAGAACCAGTTTCATCCTCAAATTCACCACGCCGATACTGCCAATCGACACGCGTGATCGAGAGACACTATTATGCATGAACACACAAAAAATCAAAACTAAAAATAAAAAAGGTCTAAACTCTGGGGACGATTCCATGCTTGAAACTACTAATCAAATAGTACTTGATACAAACAAGATAAGCAGGGCAGACAGGAAAGTATGGCCAGACAAAACCTGTATCTACTGAATACATGGGCAGAGTGACAACTCCAACAGTGCAAGAGACATGTACTTAGCATCGTGCCATCCCAGGATGGGACCTCATGTCCCTGACTCACACCAAGCCCTGCATGGAATTATTCAGACTAAGAAGCAAGAACTGAACTAATTGAAGCTAACTAAAATTAAAGACTAAAATGTAGTTAACTTGGAGTGAGGTCTGCAGCACCTAAGAAGGCCTACCAGCCACTCACTCTGGCCCGCCTTGAGGCACTACAAAACACCTTGAACTCATACGTGCAACTACCCCACCTTTACATCCACATGAACCACAAATAACCACCTCCATTCTTTGACTGCTTGAAGAATAAGGACACACACAAAATGGCTAAAAATCCTGGAGCCGATTCTACGCTTGAAGCTATTAATCTACACTTCATCCAAACAAAAATCAACCAAATCCCCTTCAGATCTACGGTGTAGCAACAACAAACAAGACAAAAAAACAGATGGAGAAGAAGGTAGAGGAAACTCACTCCATCAGCAGCTCCGGCCATCCTCTCTCATTGGGCGTGCAGTAGCAAGTCAATCTGTTCGTTGAAGAAAACCTTGGAGCTCGGCGTCTCTTCTTTCCCTGTGGAGTTCTTCCGATTTGAGATTGGGGAATGGATGGAATGAGCTCTCACTGCCCGTTCCCCTCTTCTTAATTACCACACGGGTGGTAGCTTCCCATTCCTCTCTCCTTAATGCGGCACAAAACAAAACGAAAAAAAAGACCGCCCCGAACATTAGCCCAGCCCACAAAAGCAAAACGCTTGCGCGGGATCGCGGTTCGACAAAAAAAAAGGAAACGGGCCGGTCTGCGCCTTAGACAGGCCGAAACAAAGACAAAACGCCCCAACACAAATCTACAAGCAACACAGAGATCGAACGGCTGCCCAGTCGACTGAGACTTCGCGTTTTAGCAGCTCCGTTTTATAGGAGCTCCCAATGCCCTTACCTAGTAGTAAGAGACAAAAAAAAACTTAGTAGTAAGTCGGAGATAGCAATAGGGTCCTAATGTAAAATCCCATAAATTGCTTGCAGCCCATTTCATCCATTACTGTTTGTTTCTCCTTCGATGGGCCGAACAGGCCTCAAAATATATAGGGGTAATTTATTTTATTATATAAAGAAAAAGCCTGGAAATACGCAGTGCGGTAGGGTTACGAGTGGACGGCCTGAGCACTGCCGCTCCATCCTCACAGAAGAACAGCCGCCGCCACTCTGCTCCGGCGCGCTGCTGCCCTGCGACTACCTCGCCTGGAGCTGCCGCCGGCGCTTCTCCCCTGTCCCGCGCCACCGGTGCCGCCTTCCGTCGTCCCTCGCGCCGCTGCAGGCGTGCTGCCCTGGCCGAGTTCGTCGCCGGGGGCAAGGCTGACGACGCATCCAGAGGCATCGGTGACTTTCAAGGATAGGTCACCGCCTCCTCTGCCACGCCAAGAGGTCGTCCGGAGAGAGCGCGTCGCGCGGCGCCGCGGCCGGTCACCTCCGATCAGCCCACCCCCACGCCGATCAGATCTGCCCCCCTCCGGCCACGACGGTGTCTGACGGTCGGCATGGATATGGAGCGCACTGACGTGCTGGTCGACATCCTCCGCCACCTCCCGCCGCGCAGCCTCGCCGCATCCCGCTGCGTCTGCACGTCCTGGCGGGCCACCGTCGACCACCACCGTCTGCTGCGCGCGGACCTGCTCCCGCTCTCCGTGGACGCGGTGATCTGGGACAATGATACCATAGACGCCCCGATGCTCTTCGCCCGCCGCTCAACGGCGCGCTACATCACCAGTAGGCTCGATTACCTCGAAGAGGATCCCGACTATGGAATGTACGCGGGGGAGATGAGGGATTACTGCAATGGCCTCCTCTTGATTCAGAACGACACGGTGGTCAATCCCGCCACGCGGCAGTGGGCGCCATTGCCCCGGCTGCCGTGCGCGTGCTCGCCCGATGGGGATTGCGGGCGCTGCCACAACAATCGCTACCTCGCATATGACCCTACCATCTCGCCACATTACGAGGTATTCTTCATTCCTCGTATTCCCTGTGATGTACCCGATGACATGGCCTCCACTATGGAGTGGCCACCTTCGCCGTATACCATGTATGTTTTCTCGTCCAAGACAGAGTGTTGGGAAGAGAGGTCATTCATGCGAGAAGGGGATGCTGCCGGAACAATTGACGATGTGAAATCACATCGGAAATCTGATCAGAATTTGTACTACGCAGCTTACTGGCAGGGGTCACTTTACGTTCCTTTTAGGCAAATACACGGTGGTTTTCTTCTGAGGTATTACTCGTACTCGGACACTCAATGATCATGTTTATGATTGTGTTGGTAATTGATCTTTGTGGGTGCTTTGTTTTTTGTAGAATAAACTTGTCGAGTGATAAGTACCAAGTAATTGAGTTGCCAAAAGGAGGCATCAGATCACTATCTCGTCTAGGAAAATCGGAAAAAGGGGTCTACTGTGTATTGAAGAATGGAAGATGCACATTTCAGGTTTGGTTTCTGTATGAATCGGGTGGTCTGATAGACTGGGTTTTGAAGAATGAAATAAACCTGGAGCCAGCATGGAGAGAATATTTTGAGAAACATATTGACGAAGGTCCATGGATCTCACAGTCGGATGATCAGAAAGAGTTGTTGTTGAAGAATGATGTCAACCTTAAACTTGTAGCTGAATACAACGAAGCAGTAGAGAAAGATGATTTTGAGTGGGACTCTGATGATGAAAATGTTCTCAGCACTGCAGGCTGGCCTAAGAAGTACAACCCTGACAATGAAGCCTATGAAACCCCTCTTCAACTTGAATGTCTTGGATTTCACCCTTACAAGGAAATTGTTTTGTTTCATGACCACAATAGTGCAACGGTTGCATATCATTTGAATAGCTCGAAGGTTCGATACTTGGGTGAGATGGAGCACTACTATTCCTTCATTGAGATCTCTTTTCCTTACGCCCCATGCTGGACTATGGACTTACCTGGAAGTAAGTAATGTCAAGTCGTAGGCATGTCTAGTTTGCAGCTAATCTCAAACTGCTCTTTGTTCCATTTTTCTCAGTGTGGAGTTAAGGCAATTGACAATCTATTGTATTAGTATATCCTGCAGATTTTTGCATTGGTTTTCATCATCTTATAGGTGGAATCCATTCAGTCATGTCAATCTTTTATTTGTTTCCCAGCACATTGTATTGAAGATTATTATGAATTTCATTTCTTGCTTGGAAAAACTAAAATAATACTCCCTCTGATTCATAATAACTGTCGATCATTCCTTGATAAAGGTTGCTCACATGTTCCTACGAATCAATGTTGTTACTGTGACTAGAGTATCACATAAAATGGAAAGCCAGTATACTGTTCTAATCTAGACAACAAAACAGACAGGTGATTGACTGATTTTTAAAAGCAAAATCCATGGTATAGCGAATAAAAATATATTGGATTACTGGCAAAACCAAAATCCATGGTATAGCGAATACGGCCTACTGGCATGCAATGATGCAAAGCTCTAGTGCTAAGTTCAGTCCGATGATTGATGTTGATGCATATGCATTGATGTTGATCACCTTCGGTCTGTTGCTGAAATTTGGCTTGACATTGATATGAATGGTGGGCTATGCAACAGAATTAAAAACAAATACGTGTAAAAAGAAAGGAAGATGTAAGAAAGGACACAACATTCATTATCTCATTAATTTTCAACTTTAATTTGCAAAAAGTGGTAGACATATTCTATTGCACATTAAACTCCATCTATGTTGTCTCAACATAGCTGATCGCAAGCCCGGGTAGAGGAGCAGGGTTGTGATAGGCTTGGCGAGCCAACGTCAAAACACAGCCACTCTATGAAGATGAAACCCAACGATTTTCGTTGCGGTGTAACCCTATCAGCGACGCGCCACATCAGAACCCGGGTGTGGTGTCAAATGGGTAAGGGCCGGGCCGCCACCCCCTCAATGGCGCGCCATATCTTGATCTGGATACGGTAGCAAGTGAGCAAGGATCGGGTCGTCACATCCTTAGTGGCGCGCTACATCGATGCTCGGGTGTAGTGGAAAATGAACAAGGGTCTACGCATTTGACTCGACGAGTGCGAAGGGTAAGGAAGCTAGCCGAGCCTAGGAGGATCCGCTTACGTAGCTGGAACGTAGGGGCCCTGACAGGTAAGCTTCGAGAGCTAGTTGATACAACGGTGAGGACATGTGTTGATATTCTTTGCGTCCAAGAACAAATGGAGGGGACAAAAGACGAAGGAGGTGGAGGATACCGACTTCAAGCTGTGATACACGGGGACCGCTACAAACAGAAATGGAGTCGGCATCTTGATCAACAAGAGCCTGAAGTATGGAGTGATAGACATCAAGAGACATGGGGACTGGATTATCCTGGTCAAGCTGGTAGTTGGGGACTTGGTTCTCAATGTTATCAACACATATACCCCGCATAGGCTTACAATAAGAACACCAAGAGGAAAGACTGGGAAGGACTGGAGGACTTAGTTAGGAGTGTACCAATTGGCGATAAGCTCTTCATAGGAGGAGACCTCAATGGCCATGTGGGTACATCTAACATAAATTTTGGAGGGGGTGCATGGGGGCTTTGGGTATGTCATTAGGAATCAAGGAGAAGATGTCTTAAGCTTTGCTCTACCTCACGACATGATCGTAGCTAACACCCTCTTTAAAAAGAGAGAATCATATCTACTGACTTTTTAGTAGTGGTCAACACTCTAGCCACATTGATTTCATCCTCTCGAGAAGAGAAGACAGGCATGCGCGCCTAGATTGCAAAGTGATACTTGGAGAGAGTGTTGTCCCTCGACATAAGCTTGTGGTGGCTGACTCCCGCTTTCGGATTTGTGTCCAACAGGATAAGCGTGACAAAGTCGTTAGAACGATGTGGTGGAAGCTCAAGGGGGAGGCAGCTTAGGCGCTCAAGGAGAGGGTCATCAAGGAGAACCCTTGTGAGGAATTAGGTGATGTAGACAATATGTGCATGAAGATGGCGACTTGCATCCGTAAGGTGGCCTCAGAGGAGTTTGGAGTGTCCAGGGAAAGTAGAAGCGAAGCTAAAGATACCTGGTGGTGGAATGGTGATGACCAGAAGGCTATTAAGGAGAAGAAAGGTTGTTTTAGATGCCTATACCTAGATAGGAGTGCAGACAATATAGAGAAATACAAGATGACAAAGAAGGCCGCAAAGAGGGAGTTGTGAGTGAAGCAGGGGGTTGGGTGTATGAGGATCTCTATCAGTGGCTAGACACGAAGGAAGGTGAAAAGGACATCTATAAGATGGCCAAGATCCGAGAGAGGAAGACGAGGGATGTTGATCAAGTCAAATGCATCAAGGACGGAACAGACCAGCTCCTGGTGAAGGACGAGGAGATTAAGCATAGACGACGGGAGTACTTCGACAAGCTGTTCAACGCGGAGAATGAGAGATCTAACATTGAACTGGATGACTCATTTGATAATACCAGCATGCATTTTATGCGGCAAATCCAGGAGTTTGAGGTCAAGGAGGATTTAAAAAGGATGAAAGGAGGCAACGCGATGGGCCCTGATTGTATCCCCGTTGAGGTGCGGAGAGGCATCAGAGACATATCTATAGTATGGCTAACTAAGCTTTTCAACCTCATTTTTTGGGCAAACACGATGCTGAAAGTGCAACTAATCCCCGGATGGTTTTGGTAATTCATAACAACATATATCTCACTGAACTAATATCCATTCAAGATAAATATTTCAGGATGTTCAATGATTGGTGTGGCATGGACTAGAGGTGTGGACCCCTCAAAATGATAAGGATAAAGATTGGCAAAAGCTCAAGACTCTTCATTTCTATTTTAGTGATCCAAGTGTTGGGGAACGTAGTATTTCAAAAAATTTCCTACGATCACGCAAGATCTATCTAGCAGATGCATAGCAACGAGTGGGGATAGTGTGTCCACGTACCCTCGTAGACCGAAAGCGGAAGCGTTTAGTAACGCGGTTGATGTAGTCGAACGTCTTCACGATCCAACTGATCCAAGTACAGAACGCACATTACCTCCGCGATCTGCACACGTTCAGCTCGGTGACGTCCCTCGAACTCTAGATCCAGCTGAGGCCGAGGGAGAGTTTCGTCAGCACGACGGCGTGTTGAAGATGATGATGAAGTTACCGACGCAGGGCTTCGCCTAAGCACTATGACAATATGACCGAGGTGGAAATCTGTGGAGGGGGGCACCGCACACGGCTAAGATCAACTTGTGTGTCTATGGGGAGCATGCCTCCCCCGTATATAAAGGAGGGGAGGAGGGGGCCCGGCCGGCCTCATGGTGCGCCCCTAAGGGGGGATTCCTACTCCTACTAGGAGTAGGTTTCCCCCCTTTCCTAGTCCAACTAGGAGGGAGAAGAAAGGGGAAGAAGGGAAGAAGGAAAGGGAGGCCGGCCCCCTCCCCAATTTGGATTGGGCTTGGGGGGGCGCGCCCCACCTCTTGGCCGCCTCGTCTCTCTTCCACTAAAGCCCATGTAGGCCCATTAAGCCCCCCCGGGGGGGGGGGGTTCCGGTAACCCCCCGGTACTCCAAAAATGCCCAAACTAGTCTGAAACCTTTCCGGTGTCCAAACATAACCTTCCATTATATCAATCTTCATGTCTCGACCATTTCGAGACTCCTCGTCATGTTCGTGATCACATCCGAGACTTTGAACAACCTTCGGTACATCAAATCACATAAACTCACAATACCAATCGTCATCAAACGTTAAGCGTGCGGACCCTACGGGTTTGAGAACTATGTAGACATGACCGAGACTCATCTCTGGTCAATAACCAATAGCGGAACCTGGATGCTCATATTGGTTTCTACATATTCTATGAAGATCTTTATCGGTCAAACCGCATAACAACATACGTTGTTCCCTTTGTCATCGGTATGTTACTTGCCCGAGATTCGATCGTCCGTATCATCATACCTAGTTCAATCTCATTACCGGCAAGTCTATTAACTCGTTCTGCAATGCATCATCCTGTAACTAACTCATTATTCACATTGCTTGCAAGGCTTATAGTGACGTGCATTACCGAGAGGGCCCAGAGATACCTCTCCGACAATTGGAGTGACAAATCCTAATCTCGAAATACGCCAACTCAGCAAGTACCTTCGGAGACACCTGTAGAGCACCTTTATAATCACCCAGTTACGTTGTGACGTTTGGTAGCACACAAAGTGTTCCTCCGGTAAACGGAAGTTGCATAATCTCATAGTCATAGGAACATGTATAAGCCATGAAGAAAGCAATAGCTACATACTAAACGATCAAGTGATAAGCTAACGGATGGGTCAAGTCAATCACATCATTCTCTAATTGTCGTGGTTTTGTCACGTCAGATGTCCTAGTGTGAGGACTTAGTCGTGAGGCCAACGCATCTATGTGGTAGCTTGAGAGGGGTTGAGCGGAATCGAGAAACGCAACACAAGACAAGGGTTTAGACAACTTCGGGCCCCGGGAAACATCATTCGGTAACAACCCTACATGCTGTTTGTGGCTAGGTCTCATTATCATCACGACGGAGTTGTTGGGGCACGTAGTAATTTCAACAAATTTCCTACGCACACGCAAGATCATGGTGATGCATAGCAACGAGAGGGGGGAGTGTCGTCCACGTACCCTCTTTGACCGAAAGCGGAAGCATTATGACAACGCAATTGATGTAGTCGTACGTCTTCACGATCCGACCGATCCAAGTACCGAACGCACGCCACCTCCGAGTTCAGCACACGTTCAACTCGATGACGTCCCACGAACTCCGATCCAGCATAACTTTGCAGGAGAGTTCCGTCAGCACGACGGCGTGATGACGGTGTTGATGATGCTACCGACGCAGGGCTTCGCCTAAGCACCGCTACGATATTACCGAGGTGGAATATGGTGGAGGGGGGCACCGCACACGGCTAAGAGATCAATGATCAATTGTTGTGTCTCCAAGGGGTGCCCCCCTCCCCGTA